TACCATATCTAGTACTATGTATTAGATCGGAAAACAGTTTAGTTTAGGAGTTATAAAGGCTCAAAGATTGGCCNAAAAAAATGTTTCCTTCAGTGGGGTCTACGGACGCGTTTTTAGTGACCAATAGATTGATTGAAATAAAACCGCCAACCCGACCTAAAATCGATCGACTAACCATAAGCCGCATCGCAACTGCACGCATCCTATGCTATCCTTCTCCAACGTATATATCCAAATAAGATAATTCTGGTTTGGATCTCGAGAATTCGAGATCTGAATACTGCGTAATTCATATTGATTTCAGTTAGCCCTTGGTCCTGGTTTCTGTTCTGCATAGGACTCGCTTCAGGAGCTTTGTTGAACTTGATATTAATGAAGACGAGGTAGGTAGACGTTACTCACAGTTTGTTTACTGACATTCAAAACACGTCTCTGATATGTTAGGGGTCACACCAATGTTTTTGGGATATCCGTGTTCATAAATGAAACTGAAACTTGGGAAGGAAAAGGGATAGAAATACTACACTCTCCCACCATCGTCACCAATTCGAAGTAACGAGGAACCCATTAGACTGACTGCATTCAGTCTTTTTGTAACACCCTGTGGTGGACCGATATGATTAGTTTGACTGGTTGCGTTCATACTACGAACACCGACGCCAGCGTCGGGAGATCGACATCTCGCACGTCGAGTATGAACGCAATTGTTGTAGGGAAAGGTGTAGCGCCAAAGAGTGGCGAAGCCAACGAAAAGTCGGATGAGGTCACTGATAAACAATCTCACCTAATATGTTCAGAAGTATGGGGAAGGGGCGCATAGGAGAAATGGAACCCGAGTTAGAGAAAATGCAACACCGAGTGGTTTTTAACGGAAAAAGGCAAACTATGAAGCAGACCGAACTATGGGTAAAGGAGAAAAATCCAAATATTCCCTTCTAAAACAACTCATCCCGAAGGGGCCCAGATCAGATGAAAAATCTCACTTCCCTAAAGATGAGCCAAAGATAACTCAGACGACAAGAATACGGAAATCTCACTCTCAGAAGAGATTCCGCCATCAAATAATTAGGGTTGACGAGAAAACGCGCAGATCAAGATCTGTCAGGGGGTTGCCCACTCCTCATTGAGTGAGATCGCATAAAGTACGTATATTCGTGAAAACTATTCAGTCGCATAAGTTATATAACTATGCTGTAATACAGCAGAATTACATTTATACTGATTTCCTCCACTAACAGCTACTGATTATTTATGTCTAATAATCACTTATAGGGCTCCGATCAAGAAAACATCGGTATCACCACCTCGAATTGAAGCCTACGCGAGTACGACGACCTCTCGCCTATCAAATAGCATGCATTCCAGCATTCAAACTTATTGTTAAAATTGCACCCTAATTAAGGATTATCCCGAAAATCAAATATACCCGTGGAAAGAAAGGAATAGTGTTGTACAAAGTCAGAAATGAAAGCCGTACCTGTTAAGAAGCACAGTCCGCTGCTGTCAGAATCCTTGAGTTGTCATAGTTTCTGATGGACATAGCATACCGCTGCCTCCACAGTCTTTCGATAATTTGAGGAATTGTTAACTGTATATGGGTAGCATATTGCTAAAATAATAATTGTTATGGTTATATGAATAAACAGTATATTGATTACTGTATGCTTTTCTTCTACCAATTGAACCTCTAGTGGCTCGGAGAAATTAGAATTAATCTTCAAACCCTGAGCTGATCAAACTGTCCCATGTCTACAAGCTACCTGTAGATGTTTAATCTGGGATCGAACTCAGGTAACATAATCTTTCATCCCTTCCGGAACAATGAGCTGGCCCTTGTTTTGTTAAAGGCACAGTTCACGATAGAAATGATTTCTGAAATTCCTCCACAGAATGAATTTGAGGCCCCCGCGTATACCATATCTAGTACTATGTATTAGATCGGAAAACAGTTTAGTTTAGGAGTTATAAAGGCTCAAAGATTGACCCGTGTGGCCCGTGTGTATCCTCGGACGAGCTTCACCGTCGTTGTAGAGGCTGCACCGATCACAAGGGAACCCATGTAGGAGGTTCAAACAACTTGTCTTCTGTACAGTTCTGGGCTCTTTGTGTAATTGCATTAACTGAAATCTCGTCCGAATACCCCTTCCGTGNTATTTCCGTCACGGTAATCTCGTCAAAACTTCATTTTCCCTACTTTAGAGGAGACATATTTTTCTCGAAAGCGGCGAATTCTCTCGCTTATTTAACTACCAGTGAACTATTTCCCTGTACTTTCTGAATAAAAAAGGGTACCTCAAAATTATCGTGAACTGTGCCTTCAAGGAAGAAGAAGAGATCAACTAACTATACATGATCGTCTGATCCTCTAAACTTATTTTACGACTCCAGTATAAACTACCACATCCTCGACATTGAACTTTCTCAACCTACTCCTCGTGATTGAAGGCTAATGTTGCACGGGTGTATCTCAAATGGAAAGCAGCTTACACCGACTGTTTACCGGTCTAAAGGCACCACGATAATATAACAATATTACGTCCTGTCTAGACCGTTTTTCGATTCTACAGCGTGTTTTAGGCTTCGATTTTTTCCTGAGATGAATTAAACGACCCCAAAGGTTGGTATAGGAGACGCTATCGGATCGAAAAAACGTCCCAGGTAGGTTGTATTACAGTAAAGGCCCCAAAACCGGCTAAGCCGACGCCACAACCGATGTGGACGACTTTTCACGACGTTATAGAGGCTGTAGAAGTTGTAATGTTTGCACCGGGATGCACATGTTGCGCGTAAGCAGCTTACTGTAGGAAGCCGCACACAAGGCATACACTAATTAGGACAACTCGTCCAAATACCCTACCAATGCAACTTTTGTCGTCACATTCTCGTCCATCCTCCAACTTCCTTTTTGCCTTGTATTTCTTTGGATACTTCAATTTTCGCATTTGCTTCGTTACTTTGCGCTATTCTGAAGTCACCCCCAAACAGAAGTATGCCCTAACAAAAAGCAGTTCACCCTCCCATTTTTGCAGTTTCTTCAAAACAGATTGAAAACTTTTATTTCCATCTGTAGATGACCTATTATATGTAGCTAGCCTATTCTGCTACCACTATCTAATTTTCAAAGACTAATAACTGACGGTTTCACGTAGTGATCAGTCTTTCCCTATTTCTACCTTACATTCACCTATTTCTGGGTATCTACCTTACATTACACAACGACTTGCATGGTCTTCTGATGTAAAGGTTAGTAGTATTATTCTACCGAACTTGGTACTGAATAATCGACGCCGGAGCGATGATAATTTCATCGGCCTCGGACCAAGGCAGATTCGCTATTTTATGCCGACCTTGATTGGATCGGGATTAGGACGACCACTTGGCTCTCATCCCCTACAGATCACTTTCTAAAATCAATGGTGCTCCTCATTTCCTAGTCATTCATGCCTCATGAAACCTTCCAAATCAGTTTGTGCAGCGGAATCAACTGAGATACATCTTCATGGTGATCTTAAAACATCGTCAAAGTCTGAAAAACAAAATTTCCGAGACTCATCCAAATTTATTCATCACATTATTTACAAACAATCAAGTCATAAAATCGTTCTTACATGAAAGTATTTGAGCTCCTAACAACATCTCAAAAATGTAAACATTTCAATCAATTTCATAAAAAATCGGATAGGTAAGACATGCTTATGAATGTAGGAGAGGTAGTGTTCGGAACATAAATGAAAAGAAAACAACACCTTCTTTATGAAGAAGGCACTACTGTACCCTAGGCTGTATGAAAAATAAAAAGGGCCCTAATGGCAAGTGTCAGCCGACTGAGTGAAGCTATGACCACCAGTCAAAACCTTCCCGATAAAACATCTTTTTGAAGGTTTCACGGTTCTCATCCCTTCAGATTAATGCACATTACTAAAAGAGTAGAGTATATGATGATGAAACTCTTCTGCCCTCTGAAATAACTGATCAACCCATATAAACCATACGTCGTGTGTCCGGGACGAGATTCTCCAATTGTTTGTGTACCTCTGACTGTCACTATGACTCAGTATCTGCTTGTATGACCTGACCGTTTCGTTTCAACCTAAAAACCCGGTGATAGAGACCAAACCTAGATATAGCGATTTCATGATCAAACATGCAAGAAGTATAATAAGAAGGACAAGCAGAGAATAAAGGCTTACTTAGTCGGTTCCGGTGACCTTAAATCCACCTCGGTCGTTAGGTAACCGTTTCTGGTACATCTTTTACCAGTTTCTTCTAGGCCAATGCCATCATTTTTGTAAACGACCTGAGGAGAAGGAATATATTAGTAAAATGGTTACAAAAAAAAA